GATATTCCCTGGTGTCATGCTGCCTGTCATGCTGCCTTCGTTTGTCTAGTATCCAGAATATACTGCAGGAGTTACTCAAAATATGTTTGGTTTATTATTTAAAAAAATAGTGGTTTATATTCCATGAGGCATTTTACTGTCACTGAAGCTGTGATAGACTCTTTCAGCTAGTATGGCACTGTAACAACTGCATCAAACAATGCTACAGTTAGGGGTGAAATTCACCCCTTTGCTGAGGGCTGCAAAACTTCCTGTTTGCCCCGGATTAACTTGCTATGTTGATTTTTCAATGGGAGCAGGAGCAGGTCCACTGACTTCAGTGGAAGTTGTGGGCACTCTGCACCTAGCAGGACTGGGCCTGAGGCACTCAGCCTATCAGCCTACCCTTCCTCGCATATGTCATTCCTATGAAGTCACTGGGAGCACTGTCTTGAGTCAAAATGAACCTAGAAATTACTCCTTTGCCAACTTGCTGAAAATTCTAAGCTGAGGGCAAGACTTGTAGCTGCAGCTGCTGAAGTGGAAAAATCAACTCAACCACTGTTAACTAAAGACAGAGCATGAACGGGAGTAGGGAATGCCACTGATAGAAGCCTGCAGAAGCCAATACAATGTGGTTAATAAACTGCAATAGCTTGTGAATTTTGGACATCCGGAGGCTGTGATCATTAGAGCTTGCATTTACTTTTAGTCTGGTAGGCATGCACGATTCTTCAGATGGGTTGAATTCTAGTTATTGGTTTGGATCACGAACACCAATCAATCCTTTCGTTTAATTGTGAAATTTACTGAAAACAAATTCACATTTAAAATGCAATCCCAAGCAGGACGACTTCTCTCACAAGTGTTTGCCTGGAATGGAGTCACCCATGAACAACTGATTAATTAGCCATTCAACATGACTGGCTGGATCATTAAAACTGTTGGATGAGTCCATCATTTCTCTTGACCAGGCTCAGAAGTGACTGGGGAAAGCTCAGGCAATTTCTCACAATATGTAAGATCCCTAGAGTAGGAGAAATTATTTCTCATAGCCCCAAAAAAGGGGATGTTCAGGGGAGGGAAAGCACATTCAAAAGGAATATTTTTTTCAAATAATGCATAGTTGGCATGTGGAATAGGTTGCCACATGATACAATTAGCAAGACTCAAAAAGGATTGAACATTTGTATTGATAACCAGAACATCCAGACTTTTATAACAGTAAGGACTTAAAGACACCAAGAGTTTTAGAAGGAAGATAAACTCTACTGCTTCAGGTCATAAGCCAAGCCTAGATAAAGGGGGTCAGGAGGAAACTTTCTCTGGAAGCAGGTTTTCCCATAACTACCTATTGCAATTTTTAACTTCCTCTGATGCATTTGGTGTTGGCCACTATCAGAGACAGGATATTGGAGGTGATGGACCACTGGTCTCATCCTGTTTGGCAAACCCTAGGTACCTATAAAAATTTAAGCTCACTAGTAACATGCCCCCACCCACTCTCCCCCAGCAAAAAAAAAGAACATTTCTTCCCTTCTTAACAATCATTATTTTATTAATATATTTTACAAGTTTGCAGTTGAAATCATTTAAATACAAATCTTTTTTATACAGAAAGTGTAATAAAGTTAAAATAGTTCCTTGTGTAATTCATAGCATTATTGCAATGCTTACAAAATTTTGCATAGACTGTGCAAGGATTGATGTTATTTGATAAACAAAAAAGCTTTATATTTTCTCACACAACCACACACATACATGAATTAAAAAAAAAGTGCCAAACAAATATGAATTTCTTAATGATAACCATGATAAGAGTTTACACTCATTTTGTCATGTTTACACTATCAAGGTCATTGGGACAGAGGTCAGAGAAAGCATTTTACTACCACAGATGGAAACCTGCTACAGCATATCAACATGCTTTCTGATGACGTAGATGAATGGGGTTTTGATGGTATAAATATCATTGCTTAAACCAGCAGAGGCTATGTCCTGCAGTCAGTTCTCCCTGTGAAAAGCATTTTACTGGGTTAACATAAACAATTTTATGGGCTGTCAAACACTAGAATTTGGACGAGGCAAGGTATTAAAATAAAGGGTGGGCAAGGTCAGAAAAAACGACTACAAATAAAAATACGCAACTGAACTAGAACATTGGATCCAAGCCTCCTGCACCTCAAACTTCTACAGACTCCAGATATGGATCCACATCTGGATCTGATCGTTGGAGACCGGTGGCTGCTCTTTTTATGCCTTCTGAGTCATAGATTCATTCCGTTGTTAGTAAATGAATTAATCCTCCTTTATAGCGTTGAGTAGCGTATGATCTCTTGAGTAGCCCCAGAGACGTGAATGGAATCGATAGTTCACTGGACAATGCACAAAATCAGTGCAACTGCTCACGTGAGTAAGAGCTCTTCACAGTAAATGCTGCAGAACTGGCCCTAAATCGAGTTCTTACTATAGTCAGCACTGCAGAGCCAAAATAGATGCCGAAGATCAAGCTGTATCCTTCCCTGCCTCATACATTATTTACCCAATTGCCAGCTAAACTCCAATTGCTGGTGGTAAGGTGGAAAGCAGAATGAACATGTCTTGATTTTCAGGTATGGGGTTGAGGCAGCAGTTGCGAGGACAGCTTGCCATTGTTCCTTAATTGGCCCAACCTGCTAGTGGGGACTCACTGATGGAGAAGGAATAGAGGCTGCCATTCGGCCACTTTGGTTTAATCTGATTTTCTTTTTTCATTTTCACACGTCGATTAGCAGGCTGTAGTTTAGAGCAGGTGGCAAAAATCTCCTTTTCAACGTCCTCAAAGATGACCGGCTTTCTGGGCCAGATCCTCAGCTGGTGTAAATCAGCACAGCTCTGAAGTAATGGTGGAAGGTGGCATTAGCTCCAGCTGAGAATCTGACCCTCTGCAAGGGGCAGGACTTAGTAAACCGCTACCAAGCTACAATCTAGTCACCTGATATCACCCTCACTCTTATTTCCATCTCAGACTGCTCGTCCAGCTAGCTCATGATGAGTCAAGTAAAAAATCCCCAAACTTCACAGGGTTCATGTTCTTAGGTGAGTATTTGAAACATTTCATATTTCCTTATTTCTGAGCTTTCTGTACTTTTCTGTTTGTCCAAATAGATGTTTAATTAGAGCAGAAAGCAGAGTTAGTTTTAAGAATGGGCCCTGTTGGGCCTTCTGGCATTAATACAGATGCTTGAGGGATGCAAGATGGCTAGCAAGACTAGGGTATAGTATTTCTTGTTGCTATTTATACCACTTAGGCTGTGTATACATAGAATCTGTAATATAGAATTACAGGGTTAGAAGGGACCGCAAGGGTCATCTAGTCTAATCCCCATTACCAACGTCATTAATACTGCCCCAAAGTCAAATTATTATAATAATAGTGTCCATAACTTGGTCCTCTTCAGTTCTAGATAAGGATGATTAGCAGGTGTGTCCACTCTCTTTCCAAATAAGATGCTAATTTCCCTACTCTGTAGGCACTATTGTATAAGAAATCTAGTTAAAAAGTTTAGGAGAGAAAAATATTGGTAGCTAACAAGGTGCGGGTGGCACCAGAAGGGCAACATTTGATTTTTCAGTTCCTGTAATCCAATCATACATAAAAATGGGACCACCCATAAATAATTGGTTTCCTTACTCTCCAATTCAAGCCTACTTCAAGGGTTCCATTATGAGAGATCTTTTAAAGGAACACAGAAATCACATTGCTTTAGAAAGTGATAATGCATTTAGCAAGCAGCAGCAGGCTTCAAAATGCTTACTTTCTTATCAGTGGTTAAGCCTTTTGGGGTGCGGGAAGGGAAATGCAAGAGCACAATGGAATTTTAAATTCTTGTTACAAGCAAAGATGCACGTGAGACATAATTTGCGGTGGGCTTATTACTATGATGGCTAATGTATTGGAAAGTTTCACCATTTCTGTTCCAGGAGAACCTGATGAAAGGTCCCAAAGTGCCTTTTTAAAAATCTCTCTGATAAAGGACCTGTTTTCTAAGGCAGGTTTCAGAGGAACAGCCGTGTTAGTCTGTATTCGCAAAAAGAAAAGGAGTACTTGTGGCACCTTAGAGACTAACCAATTTATTTGAGCATGAGCTTTCGTGAGCTACAGCTCACTTCATCAGATGTATACCGTGGAAACTGCAGCAGACTTTATATACACACAGAGAATATGAAACAATACCTTCTCCCACCCCACTGTCCTGCTGGTAATAGCTTATCTAAAGTGATCAACAGATGGGCCATTTCAGAAAACTCACCCTCCACCCCCCACCCCACTGTCCTGCTGGTCCCAGCAGGAGAGTGAATTTGTGTGGGGAGGTGGAGGGTGAGAAAACCTGGATTTGTGCTGGAAATGGCCCACCTGTTGATCACTTTAGATAAGCTATTACCAGCAGGACAGTGGGGTGGGAGGAGGTATTGTTTCATATTCTCTGTGTGTATATAAAGTCTGCTGCAGTTTCCACGGTATACATCTGATGAAGTGAGCTGTAGCTCACGAAAGCTCATGCTCAAATAAATTGGTTAGTCTCTAAGGTGCCACAAGTACTCCTTTTCTTTTTTCTAAGGCAGCATGTCTCTACCCTAAGTATTTGGGAGCAGGGCACAATGCAAATTTAATATTTTTTTTTGCACAAATCTCTCCTTCCGATGCCCTTTCGAAAAGGGATGAGATGCTTCAGAGGAAATCCCAGACTCCTCTGAATAGGTAGCATGATGCTATTAACGTACTAGAAGGCTTGTGACAGAAAATCGTAGGTATTGGATGACTCTGAGTGGCAACAATAAGATGTGACATTTCCTGAAAGTGACAATGATGCTGACTTTCACACAGGAATTACACCTGTAGCAAAATTAATTTTTCAGAGTCTCGCACTTCTAGTTTAAAGTGAGGTGCTTGGGAAATCTCAGTGGAATTATGACTGAGGATTTTCCCCCCTTCTCTGTGGATATATAGTGCTGGAACTTTAAATATCCACCTTTCCTGCAAAAAAAACCCCAGAACAAAAACATGGCTTTTTTTCTTTTTGGAAAAGACTAATAGAATGCAATTTGCATATTAGGAAATTATTAGCTTTAGAAAGCTTCAGGGCTGTATATATATCACCACATGCTTTTCAAATATGACAATGTTTGTTTAAATACCAGATAGTCCTTCTATTTTTCTAACCCAATCCCAAACCATTGTGTTTAAAGTGGATGGAAATTTGTTCTCCTCGTTAAACAAACTCCCCAATGTTCTGACAAGAATGGGTCAGACAACAGCCTTTAAATGGGATAAGTGGCACTGTCCAAACAAGGATTGAATATAATCACAATCAGATCCATCCCAAATTTGTTGTTAATTGAAAGGTAATAGTGTAAACAGACAAAAGAGAATCACTTTATCAATATCACTAAGGAGATATCTATTAACATGCTTTCCCCCTGCTCACTTCATCGCTGTCTTGGTAGGCCATCTATGGTACCAGTGTCAGGCCAATTTCTAACCCTCCTCATGTCTCAACCATAAGCTCTGTTAGGTCAGCTGTGAAAACAATGAGTCCTATGTAGATGGGTTTCTACAGAAGCATAGAGTGCAGAGGAGAAGGAAGGACTGAGTTTGAATCACACATCAATAGCGCTTTTTGCCTGCTTAAATATTCAGTGGTAATTGTTTAGAGATGGGCAGGGGGGAAAGTAGGGAGGGAAATTAAGACTTAAAAATGTTCTGTTTTGCAAAATTTAAAATATTTTGAAATTTCCAGATTTGAAAATTTCCAACCCACTGATTGAAAATGCTTCACAAATCTATTACCAGCTTTTTTCCCCATTTGTTTTCTGAATAATAAAATTTCAAACTTAAAAGAAAGCCAACAAAATTACCAAAAAGTAGTCCAATAGTAATTCTGCTTAACTGTACGGGTGTTAAAGATTGAGCAGTCACGGCATAGTTACTCTTCTACACTGCAGGTGCAATTAGGTGTTCGTAGGTCCAACTTTCCGATGGCCTTTTGGCAGCAAGCCAAACACTTGAAACGGCCATCACTGAAGCACAAGCTTAGGGCAATAGGGCTCTCCTTGATCTACACAGGCAAGTCTCACTAGCACTGTGGGAGTTCCACACACATCAAGGCAAGAACGCACATGAGCAGCTAACAACATTTAGCTTATTTATCCCTCCCCGACAGAAATGTTACGATAGTAACAACCTGCTTCGATACTGCATTTTTTCTTCTTTCAGTTTTTAGACCACTCTTTGCCTTTTGTACACAGCACAGAATATTACACTTACTTTCTTTCCCCTATTAACTGAATTTCAGTTTTCCTTGTTGTTCTAGTCTAGTGCCCAGAAGCTATGCAATGAACTCTGCGTTTCCTGCCCAGTTCCAATAAGCACTATTAAGTTAATAAGTGGGTGTGGGGCTGCCCTTCTACCAGTCTTTGGTCTGTCACTCACTCCCCTTCATAATAGGAAACTTAAAGCCATAACAACAAATATTAAAAAAAAAACCACCCCCAACCCCCCAATTCAAACAAAAGCCAATTCCACTTAAGAGCCCAGCGCATTCAAGGAGTGCAACAATTACAGACCTGTTCATTCAGCTCTAGCATGGCTACGGGGCTCGAACAAACCGGACATCTTCCCAAGTGCCACAGGAAGCTCCCTCTTTAACAATGGAGCAGTCTCAAAGACTGAATGGAGGGTTAGCAGGGTTTAGATCTCATTTGGCTATGCCACATGTTGCAGGTGGTCATTTAAGTTCATAATTTTTATTTTTTGTATCATGTTTGTATTGGGAAAAAAAATCTGATTGAAAACACGTGATTGAAGGAAACAAATGTAGACCACACTTGCGCTACTTTAACCTTTCTAAAAAGGGGAGTTCTAATATACAGCTTAGTAGTCCCTGGCTTTCCCTTTGCATGAGTTTCTTTACTGCTAAAGTCTCATTTGAACGCTCAGTGTAGTAATTATGCTGACTGCTGGATAATACATACTTTAAAAAAAATGAAATTTGGAGAGTGGATGCAGATATATAATCAGTTTTAGGAACTCTGTTTTTGCTAATGTCAAAGTCTTTTTGCTTTTAAAGACCGCCCTGACATATCTGTTATGGCAGGGAGTTCATACAGTAAATATGGGTAAGGTATTGTGTAAAGACAAGCGCTAATAGTCATTTTCTCTACAAGCTTAGTAACGGTGGCATTTAAAGCAAATGTAGCATGTTACTGAAGCTCTAGTAAAGTCAACAGTTACAATATATAAAAGCATTTATCTTTAGCTTTCGTATTCATGGTTGCCTAAGGTATATTGACAATAACGCAGTCCCTTAATTAGCAAGTATTTTGAATGCACATAGCTTCAGTGCAGAATTGTGTACAATTCTGAGTCCGGCCTCGATCCTGCAACAACTGACATAGATGGAAGTGTTCCCACTGACTTCAGTGGCCTAAATCTGAACCCAGAAAGACCCTGGGCTGGATCCTGCAGGCACTGAAGTCAATGGTATATATCCCAGTGACTTCAATAGAAGCTAGCTCCCTATCCCTCCCAGCCTGTCCTAAGTCGCGAGAGATAAAAGGAACCCTTATTTGAGATAAATACCAGCCCCTCATGGGCAAATGATGACAACTGAACCAAATTGTGGGTCCGATTCATAAAGAAATATATCAGTTTGTTGGCTGGCAATTTTCTTTTAACTTCTGTGGATAGTTTGTGTGTATGAAATTGAAACTAAGCAAGTCTTGAGTAGAGACCTATTAGGATATGAGAGGGCTATGGGCAGAAACAATCTTATACAGTGAAAATAATTATTCAAAGAAATATGCAAACTAAACCTACCACATGGCACACACTGTTGTATGGTCAACAACTGCGGCACTGACTAGATCTCCATTTACTAAAGTACCACCGGCCACAGTGTACTGTTGTCTCCTAACAACAACCAATGGGCACCCTCAGAGTTTTGTGTTGTGTAACATTCCTTCCCTTTTTAAGCAAAGATTTTCACTGTTCTCAAGCAAACAATAATCCCACAGGGGAGTGGGAAGGGGATCCTTTTCTAGGAGATGAATAGAGGGAAGAAATGAAATAGATGGTTTTGTGTGACCTGTCTTCCCATCAGACTGAAATGGTAAAATTTAAGTCACTGCACAAGGGTTCTTTTAATCATGTGACTCCCATTAATACAGGAGCTGCTTGGCAACATACCTATGCTAAAAATGACCCCCCCAATGTACTGTACCTTGCACGAAGGTGCTTTATATCACAGACATACTATCCTCATTGGGCAGGGATGCTTTAGTTCAGTATGTCACACTTAAGACTGTTAACCCTACTTCAATCTTTGCCAAGCAAAGCGATTGCTCCTCAGAAGCTGCAGGAACTTACACACACTGTTTAGTGAAGACCTTGTCTCTAACTGGGTGAAACTGGCTACTGTGCAGGGGGACAACACAAGGTCTAGGATACCACATAAGCGCTAATGTGAGGATTTAAGTGGAAGTTAAGAGGTGCGTAAGTCTGCACAGGGGTGAATTTCACCTGTTAGAGCAAACTGATTTTTTTCTTTAACAGCATGTAATTTAACATTTTAAAAGCTAGAAATGCACTCTTATCTTCGTATGCATAAAAAGCTGGGCTTTCCTAATCTATGCAAAACTAAGGTACTCTTTTTACCTGACAAAGGGGACCTGCACGAACAACAAGCTGTCATGGTGATAGGGACAGGTACTTAGGTCACCAGTTCAAATCCAGCTCAGACTGGTAAACGACAAAATGGCCTCAAGGCTCTCTCATCGCCTTTGGGAAATGAGCATGATGATCTCAGTTCAGTTTCCCATAGACAAGCATCTACCTCACTAGAACTATCCCTGCACATGGCAGTAAACCGTTAAGCAGGGAGGGCAAAGACTGAATGAAGGTAAAGACTGAGCTACCCTCCAACACCAGCGGTGGAGCCTGCTAGGCCAGGTTGAGGAATATTGGCAGTACAGTACAGGAAACTACACACTACCCCAGCCCTTCCCGGGCCAGTTCTGGTGCTCTGCCTAGCACCTTTCACTAGCACTGGAATCAATCATTGGGGGAGAAAAGTGAAATAAAACCAGACCTTTGGACAATACACTCTTTCTGCAGCTCAAACTTCGTTATAACCTTGTGTACCCTGGACAAATTTTTTTATGAATCGGCCCTTGCATATGATATGAATTACTGTCCAATACAAAACGAAATGAGAAAAAGTGTTACAGTAAATGTATTCCACTTGGAGCTATGAGTGTGGGACTTCAGCTATGGTCTGGAGGTAACATACATTGTCTTTTGTTATACTTAATGTGGTAAAGAGGCTATACTCACGCCAGCGGCCCTCACAGCCTTTACGGATTTCACGTAAATCTGCTTCATGTTGCACCATTGGCTCCCATGACATCTGTTGACAGCCGCCACCCTCCCTTCCAACTGTCCCCCCACAAAATAAAGTCGTTTTAATAACAAGATAAATATGATGTGCTTCTCCTTGCTGAGTGCATTGACTTAAGGCATAGGCACAATTTCCCCTCTTTGAACAGAGATGGTATAGTCCTATGTCCCAATACAATTGTTATCCTGGGTGACCCTTTGCATTCATTAACAAATAGTTTGAACTTGATAATTAACCTAACCGTATCACTAAGAAAATTGTAGAACTAATCATTTTTAACCGCTGTCAAGTGTAACATTTTATGGGTGTCCTCAAGTGTGCTTTGTTAGCGAGCAAAACAACCAGAAGGACCAAAGGGGGATAGGTTTTTTTCTAACAGTCTGATCCAAATTCCATGCAAGTCAATGGAAGTCTTTCTATTGACTTCAACCAGCTTTGGATTATGCCCTATATGCACATTTAAAAAAATCCAGAAACCTGGCACTCTCGAGCCTTCCCCCTCCCCCGCCCCCGAATTCAAGTGACTCATGTAGAAATTGGCCAACCTGTCTCTAAACATTTTGTTTTTGTGATATCTAATCTTGAAAATTGTTTGGCGGAGATCAATGTACTTTCAGTATCACCAGAGGTATGGACAGGTTTGAGTATTTGTATAGGGGTAACGTTTTCAAAAGCAATGACTTAGCAACCCAAGTCTCATTGAAAGTTAACAGGATTTAGGGACTTTTGAAAAATTTACCCTGTATGTTTTTCAAAGGCTTCTTAAATGCCTGGGAGAGCCACTGATGGAGTTGAAACCCAGTAACTATGAGATCTTCACACTGCTCATGGTATTCCCATTTTTGGATAATGGAAACAGTGTGACAAGATCAGATCTCACATTTTTCCTTCCCCATAAATGCCTCATGGAGGGGGAAAAAACCCCACTCATGAAAAAACAGATTCAAATACTGAGTTATTTGGGTTCAAGTTCAGGATGACCCAGAGCCCAAAGCCTTACTTTTCTGTGACCTAATTTGGTCATAATCTTTATAAAACGTTTTTTAAAAGTCCTGTTTCCTAATCAGCATCTCTGATATTTGCAATCTCCACAAAAAGTGAGTGACCTCAGACTGCCCTCCCTGTTTTATTTAAAAAAAAAAATCCCTGCAGAGAATTTGGATAATGCTTCTCTTTTGTGTGAGTTTCACTGTCTCTCAGACAGGTTCCCGCCAAATCTTACACGTTCTCAGCTTTGCAAGGCGTGGGTGTGTGTGAGAGAGAGAGAAGGAGGGAGGTGGTTTATTTTAAAAGCAGAATTACCCCAGACTCCTAGAGTGTAGGATTGAATGCTCTAGGGTGAACCAGAACACCTGATGGCTATGCAGACCTGGTATTTTTGTAATTGCAACAATTTTTATCTTTTTTTTAAATTAAAGAATTTTTTTGTTTACAGGGGATGTGACATTCGCACAGTTAGTTTTCCTGTTGATGCAAAGTAACGTAATAAAATGTCAGTTACACAAACAGGGATCACTATTGTAAACCCTAGGAAAACAGAATTAGCCTTAATTTCATTTTTCTCCCAGAGACAGGGACCCCCCCACATAAATGTCAAATTCCCTGATCATTTATACCTCTATCTGCCAAGGAGGACTGAAAGGGCCTCCCTTCAGAGCCCATCAAACGTCGCCCCTTCACTGGCTGAGTCTGTCACAGCTGAATGATGCATGCCATTCTCTACTTTCTCTGGGCCTGATCCAGTACCACTTAAGTCAATGGGAGTTTTGCCATTTACTTCAGTGAGAACAGGATTGGGGCCTATATTCCCTGCTTCCAAAGGCTAAGTGGTGGGAGACCAGCACTGGGAATCAAACCCAGTTTTCCTGGATGGCAGTGTAGAGTCTCCCAATTAGGTTGCTCTACTTTAGATTAAAAATAGAGTGTCATTCAGTGACCGGCGTCTTGGAGTTCTCGAGGCCATTTGCTCTGCCTTGCTGGCCATTCTGTTGCCACTGATTTTAATGGTGCAAAAATTATCAGAGTTGTTCTCCTTTTGCATGATGCTAGGAGTACGTCAGTCCATGTACTTAATCAGACATTGTTTCCACTGCTATGAGGAGACGGTGAGTTATAAGGGAGGACCATTAGGTTATATTAATACAGAAGGGTTCAGGGAGTAGTGAGTCCAATTTAACAGAATGTAATAGGGTCACCCTGGGATTCATTGTACTGAAACATCGTTTTACACAGAGGATATATATATTTATATATATATATATATATATATTCACACGCGCGCACACACACACAAAAAAGTCTTTGATAGGCTTTCTGGGTTCTAGCAAAAATAGTTGGGAGCGGCTATCTGTGAGACCAGAACAGGGCCTTTGTGCTGCCTGCTGGGAACCGTCTCTCAAGAACAGATGCTTGTGTTTATCTGGCAGGTGGAGCTAGCTCCTGCCTGAGACAGGAATAACCTCCCGTTGGAACACACACACAGCTCGTAGATTTTTTGCCTGGATCCGGTAGAGGAGTGGGATGCTAGAGGCAATCCAGGCAGTTTGATATTTGCAGAATTCAGCGTAATCTGAAGTGGAGTGTGGGGAGAGAGAGACAGAGAGAGAATTAGTGATGAGTTGAAATCTTTAATTGCTAAATTAATAACTGTCATTGCAAAACGGAGATGCTAGCAATAGAATTTTTCATGCAAATGGGTCCGGGGGGAAGCAGGGGCCGCTGTACTTACACATTGTTTTAAAATAAATCTAGCTACCTTTAAAATGAAACATCATTTCAACACGAGAAGTTGAAATGTTTCGTTTAGAAAATGCTGAAACAAAATGTTTCAGCTTTGTCAAAAAATACTTTCTCTTTTTTGGGGTCAAAACTAGTCGCCGAGTTCAACCTGAATTTGCAATTTCAATTTACCGAAAAGTGCATTGGGGGTGGGGGTGGGGGGGAATAAACTACTAATCTGAAAAATTTCACCCAACGCTAGGTTTTTCCCATTTTTTTAACCCTCTTTTTGCCTTCTGGCAGTTGACTGATGTAGCTGTCTAACTTTTCCTGACACTATTCCCTCAGAAATCAAAACAGCCGGTTACAAAAGCTTTTGCAGACCTATACAGGTGAATTAAGCTCTTCTCACTGCAAAATTCATGATCTAAGATTGAATTATGTTAGCCAAGTAAATCTCATTTTAAACTGACAACCAAACAGAGAATTTAGGAGCATAGTGCAATTTTACAGCTGCATAAATCTCCTTGTACAACAGATGCTATTATCCAAGCACTTTAAAAATAATGAATCAGCTGAGCATTCTCCATGGAGGGACTCTAGTTTGCACACAATGTGTTCAGCCACTGCTATCCTATCTGGGCCAGCTTCACCATTGTTTTTAAACCACTGTGTGAAAGGGGGTTGCTAAATGGATGAGGCAGTTATAAATCTGCAGGTGAAGGTTGGTTCTGGTTTAATTTAGGGTTTGTTTTCCATTTCCTACCTCTCCATCTTTTGATTCCAGCCTCAGCTCCGTCCTGCATGTGGCTTCCATGTTGCCGGCCTCTGCGTTAATTTCAATTCCCTTTGGAGCCTCCATCACCAAAGAGCGTGTGGGTGACTCCAGTCTGTAATGCAGTCAAGATGGGATTATCTCACCAGCTGCACTTTGATGTTAAATCTGAGCATTTCTTCTCACCCCGCTCGATTCCCCAGTGCCTTGCACCTTAGGTACTCATTGAGAGCCTGATCCAAAACCCACTGAGGTTAGTGGCAAGACTCCATGTACAAAGTGGGTATAAAACTTTACCATTCTAATCTGGTAGCATTTCACACCTACTTTGCCCAGATGTAGATGAAGGAACAAGGGTACAAGGGTGCAAGGCACCGGAAACTCAGTTTCGCAGGCTGATCAGTTTGCTCGCTATTCTCACAAGTTCAAACATTTGTTAAATAATCAATACCACAACCTGCAAAACGTTATAATTCTGATACACATCACTTTGCATCCTCAAATCACCATATCAACATGAACAAGCCAGTCCTCATGACATCTCTGAGAGGCAGGGAAGTGTTATGCTTATTTAAGTAATGGGAATACTGCAGTAGAAAGGTCTAAACGATGTGCCAAGGCTGTGAACAAGGATTCGAACTCAGGAGGGCCTTGGAATGAAAACCCTTGGGGAAAGTTCAGCTGTTCAGAGCCAGGAAGAGATTAAGGGCTGCTTGTCCCTACTTGTCAAAGCCCCACAGGTATTGGTGGGCCTAGCGTCTTAACGGCTCAATTGATGAAAGCTCCTGCAGGTTCAGAAGCATACGAATCTCCAAGGGGAGTCAGCTGCCTTGCACAGTGGGTACAGGGCGTACACTTCAGTCTTGCGTGGTGGGGGGGCCCCTCTCCTGCTCCTCACCAGTTTTCACCTGGCTGCATGGCTCACTAAGGCTCTGTCTCCATTGATGCAAAGATTTATTTTTTACAGATTAACAAATCCTAGTGTTCACTGTCAGAGAGCTACGCGAGGTCGGCCCTATCCCTGCCCACCCTAAGCCTGTGGTTGACCTTGCCTGGTTTCTCCCAGTAAAACTAAAGAGCTTTGTCTGAACCGTGTTTACTCTGTGAAAGCCACCATGTGTTAGTTACCTACAGTAAAAAGACCCCTCTTTTGTCAGTGAAGCCACAGGCTAAGCAGTCTTACTGCTGTTAGTTTCACCTGCCTTCCCAAGAGGGAGTGAAGGCACAGACATTAACGCTGCTGCAGTGGTAGGGAGAACGCAACCCAAAATGGCTGTCCCCTGGCTCTGCTTCACCCCAAAGCCTGGTGGAGCCCCCCGACAAGCACTGCTGTTAACAAGGAGATGCTGCCGTGGGAAGGTCTGCAGAAAACCAGCTGCTCCTTCTTCCCAACTGTCTGGTCTGCTTTTCCTCATGTTCTTTCTACTCTCGTGCTCCCTGCTATGATGCCCTAAGGCAGTTACTATGGGTCTGTCTATGCTGCAATTAAACACCCGCAGCTGGCCCAGGCCAGCTGACTCAGGCTTGCAGTGCTGGGGTTCTCGGGCTGTTTAATTGCACCGTAGATGTTTAGACTCAGGCTGGTGCCCGGGCTCTGGGACCCTGGGATGAGGGAGAGTCCCAGAGCCCAGACTCCAGCCTGAGCCTGAATGTCTACAGTGCAATTAAACAGCCCTGCGAGCCCGCGTCAGCTGACGTGGGTCAGCCGGAGGTATTTCATTGCAGTGTAGGCAGACCCTATGGCCTCTTAATTAGTAGAGACTGCGACCATCTTATTCCAGCTACTCTGTGAACTGAAAGAAAAGGAAAAGGAGTACTTGTGGCACCTTAGAGACTAACCAATTTATTTGAGCATGAGCTTTCGTGAGCCACAGTGAACTGAGACACATCCATTTAACTTTTTTTTTAAAATCATACTTAAGCCAAAGATATGAGACCCTTAAATCTATGTAAAAGAATGTGAGTGATGTAATTACAAACCGTGGCTCTTTCAGTGAAACTAAGACTGTGCTTAACGAATACACATTTGTATTTATAATCTGGGTCCAATTCTCCTCTCGCACCCATTTGATATTATTGGGACCATCCTGATATGAAGGGCTTTGTTTTATATATGCAGCTACGCTCCCACCCCCACCCCCCCAAAAATGCGTTCCAATTTTTCACACTTGCTCTCTGCTCACCCTGCCCTCAGAAGACTTTATGCTGGTGGAAGTGAGAAAAGAATCACCCTACTAATTTTTGGCACTCAGGATTGCAGGAGGTCTATTGTATGATTTATTTTCGATCTCCTGAATGAATCCCTCAGACACCTGTCTTTAAACCAACAGCTGAAAATCTATGCAAAGCCAAGCAGTGCAGTTGGGGATTTATGCACAAGAGGGGGTCTGAGTAATGTTTACAGAATACTTTCATTTGAAGCAATCGTTTAAGACACACACTGCTTTCCTCTGAGTTAAAACCTTATTCCGTCTCCCAGAGCAGAACCAATTTGGAGGCTAATAATGATAGGAAATGATTTAGCGATGAGCAGATCATTCAGAATCAACATTTGTTTTCCATGGCGGCTCTGTGAAGCTTTCCATAGGACTCACAGCCTGGCAGGTTGGAATAAGCCTTCACTTACAGCGGTAGAAGGGTGACTCAGTGAGACACTAGATCAGGGGTCGGCAACCTTTCAGAAGGGGTGTGCTGAATCTTCATTTATTCACTCTAATGTAAGGTTTTGCGTGCCAGTCATACATTTGAACGTTTTTAGAAGGTCTCTTTCTATAAGTCTATAATATATAACTAAACTATTGTTGTATGTAAAGTAAATAAGGTTTTTAAAATGTTTTAGAAGCTTCATTTAAAATTAAATTAAAATGCAGAGCCCCCCGAACCGGTGGCCAGGACCCGGGCAGTGGGAGTGTCACTGAAAATCAGCTCATGGGCCACGTCTGGCACGCAGGCCATAGGTTGCCTGCCCCTGCACAAGAGCTCTTCATTGTTTGCTCTTCCATTTTCCATCCTAGTGACTGGCCGTTACGTCCTTTTTTTTTTTTTTTGCTTTTGCTTTTGTGCTGAGGGCTCTCGAGGGCCTGATTCTGATCCTACTTACACCAGTGAGAGTGACTGCACTGAAGTTAATGCCCTTATCCTGATGTAAAAGCAAGATCAGAAGCAGGCCCTGAGAGACGACTGCTTTCCCCAGACACTACTTCACTGGAGCTGCTTTTGCCCTAAAGCAGGGGTTCTCAAACTGGGCGGTGGCAAGGTGGTTACAAGGGGGTCACGAACTGTCAGCTCTGTGGGGCTGACATCCCTCAGCCCCCATTAAATTTAATCCCCCATTTTTAATTTATAAGTGGGGGTCACAGTCAGAGGTTTGCTGTGTAAAAGCGGTTGCCAATATAAAAAGTTTGAAAAACACCGCCCTAAAGCATATGGGCTTCTGGAGCAACCCCCTTTCTGTTCTGCAAGCCCTCTCCTCAATGGCTTTCAATGGGAGGTAGGTGCCTATGGAGCCTTTGAAAATCCCACAAAGCACCTTCTGCATCTTTAGGTGCCTAAATACTTTAAACATTCTGGCCCTTAGTCTCAGTTCCTCACCTGGGATAACAGCACTTCCAGCTGCTCAGGGATGTTGTGAGGATAAATATAGCAGGACGTGAGATGTGCTCAGATACTACAGTAAGGGGGCCCAGGTAAGTGCTATGGATAGAAGATGGGCGTGGGGACACACCAATCTTTCTGCAAACAGCCGTTACCCGAATCAGAAGTACTGTCAAGGTCTTGTTATGCAGAAACTGAACATACTCTGCCTGCATAGAAATGCATGTCAGCATGTACATCGGTGAACTTCATCCTTCTCTGTCTCACTCATGCTTAATGGGTAGTGCTAACTGGGCTACTGAAACCCCTTCATTCAAATTTATCTCTAGGATGTCTCTGCATTAAAAATGAACAAGTGGTGGCCGTTGTGTATCTCCCGGCAAAGACTTCTTACGTTGGCGCTGGAAACTCTGTACAACCATGAATCAATGAGAGAGCAAAACTTGAAACGCTATCCCTGGGCTTGCTTTAAAACTCCAGTAGTAACTGATGGGAGGTTGACATATCCGTTTATTCTGTAGTTCCAATGAAATGCATTCTCCTGGAGCGGTCATTGTTTACCCAGATTTCTACTTTTCATTTCCTTCATCATAAGCAGCGCCATTAATCACGTCAGCAGCCTGCATATTATTTTCTTCCCATATCCCCCTCATCCCCTGCCGAATGAAGTGCTGCTTTTCTTACTATTATGAGCCACCTTCTGAATTTGACAGGTTTCAGAGTAGCAGCCGTGTTAGTCTATATCCACAAAAAGAAAAGGAGGATTTGTGGCACCTTAGAGACTAACCAATTTATTTGAGCATAAGCTTTCACGAGCTACAACCCACTTCATCGGATTCATCATCCGATGAAGTGAGCTGTAGCTCACGAAAGCTTATGCTCAAATAAATTGGTTAGTCTCTAAGGTGCCACAAGTCCTCCTGTTCTTCTGAATTTGGTGAGCAAGGAGGATTTGTTGCTGATGCTAAGGCTGCGTCTGCAGCAGCTGGGGGCTGCCCTGCCACAGACCAGCAGTGGTTTTGATGCAATGGACGCTGTTCCCGAAAAGAATGCTTGCTATAACTCCTGCATGGGGAAAATGTACTGGCATGTGGGCAGGTGTTGGATAAATGCAGTACTTGTGATTCGCTGACAGTGCAAGGGAAAGGTGCTGCCGACCACCCTGAGTCACAGACTCCCCATTAGTGCTGAGATGAGGGAGCTTCTGGGGAGAGCCCAGGAGAGCTCGGCTCCTGCAAAAACAGGGCTGTCACTGTGAATAGGGGATCCAGGGAGTGTTGGGAGGACCTAGCATGAGACTTGAATGAATTTTAGGGAATACATGTGGTTAAGGGGCAAGCCCCGACTCATTCTTTGAGCCCTCTCCCCAAAAGAAATGAACCAGCAGACACTCCATGGGTGGGAATGAAGTTTCTTGTTCCCCACATGAGACTTCCCTGCACAGGGAACAATCCCAGCTCTCTATATGGAAGAAGGATTAATTTACTTTTAATAGGTCATTGGCATATGATACAGTGCTGT